GACACTCAGGAATCAAGCTCTCGCTTTGGATTTCCTTACGATTTATTTGGGAACCGCGCTATCGCTCGAGACGTCCTAGCCATTCATGCATGACGCACGCTTCAGCAACCCGCCTGCTCGGCCTGGCCGCCCGCGCCCGCCTTCCAACCCGACCGTTAGGATACACCCGTCCGATTTTCCCGTCTGGTTCTGCCACGTGTTTTCTGCTCCTAGCCCCTCTCCTGGTACTCTCTCTCTCGTGCTCCATCCTCATCCTCTTCCCCTGCCTTAGGGGCTGCATGAAATACACGTGGCATGTGAGACAGATATGCCCCTAAGGGGGTGTGATCGAAGACGAAGAGGGCGGGTATCGAGGGTATGGGATATACGTGTTGAAATGGCACGCAAGCAGACAGGAGGAACCAGTCTTAACATGATCGTTGGTGTTGTTGTTGCTGCTGTTGTTGCTGTTGCTGCTGTTGCTGCTGCTGTTGTTATTGCTCTTGTTGAGTGTTAATTACTAAGTATTTATTTGTGTTGGACCCCTTACAGGCGCCCTGGCGCTTGCCGGCTACATTTGACTTGAACATGAGGCTCACGCTCGAGCGGTTTGGGGGACCGCCAAAACCGGCCCCCCAACAACAACAACAACAACGCTTCCGCTCGAGACTTCCTCCTTTTTTACTTAGGGCTGGTGTTCTTGCTCGCCGCCGAAAGCCGCCGTCCTGACAAAACCAGCGCTCGCACTCGAGACTTCCTCCGGTTTTACGCTGGACTGGCGCGCTAGTCTTTCTCTTATCGGGGCCGCCCCCAACAAAAACAACGCTCCCGCTCGATGCTTCCTCCCTTTTTTACTCAAGGCGGTGCTCCTCCTCGCCGCCGAAAACCTCCGCCTCGACAAAACCAGCGCTACCGCCCGAGACTTCCTTCCGTTTTACGCTGGGCTGGCGCCCAGCTCTCTTTTGAATTGGCGCCGCTCCCAGCAAGAACAACGCTCCCGCTCGAGATTCCCTTTCTTTTTCCTCGGGACGGTGCTGTTGATCTGGGAATGGGAATAACGGACCCCGCTATAGATCAAGAGTCCCCCATGATGCGGATGGTGTCATGATGGTCGCATGCTTCGTGTGGAAACATCTCGCATGAGGGTAAACTGACTATTGTTCTTATTGTTGTTGTAGTGGTTGTGGTTTCGCTGTTGGTGTTGTGGTTGCTATTGCGATTGTTCGTGTTGTGGTTGATGTGATTGTTGTTGCTGTTGTTATTATTGTTGTCGTTGTTAATATTGTTGTTGTTATTGTTGTTGTGGTTGGTGTTGTTGCTGCTGTTATTATTGTTGTTGTGGTTGTTGTCGTTGTGGTGGTGGTGGTGGTGGTTGTTGTTGTTGTTGTTGTGGTTGTTGTTGTTGTTGTTGTTGTGGTTGTGGTTTTTGTTGTTGTTGTTGTTGTTGTAGTTATGGTTGTTGTTGTGGTTGTTGTTGGTGGTGGTGGTGGTGTTTTTGTTTTGTTGTTGTTGTCGCTGCTGCTGATGCCTTTTTCTGTCTCTGTGGAGCCGTCTTCGGGCCCCAAGACCATCAAACACGAATCTGAGTTGAAAAACTACACCTTGAGAACCACTCGAGCAGATTTGCTCTCACCCCCCCTTCTGTGGCAGACTTTACCGGGGCCATCCAGTTTACACTTCCCAGCCGCCGCCTAACGTGGAGATTTCCTGGTGACGTGGAACCCACGTGCTTCGTGCTCTTGGGCGCCACCGCCAGCGCCGATCTCTGGCGTCCTGTCCTGTCCTGTCCTGTCCCTTGGCATCGCTCGGACGTGTGCATTTTTTCTCGGCGACAACCATCGAGGACCACCCTGGACCATCGGGCAACAAAAAAACGCACGAAACTGACAAATGCACGGGGAATGGACGTCCAAGCGACGGCAAGGTCCCCGAGCAGGCGACGGGGGGATGTCTCGAGCGAGAGTCGGAGATCAGAACGCCGCGCCAACGTAATCCCTCCGAGGTCCGCGCAGATTGCTTGGATCTGCGTTCGGGCACCCCCTGGCGGCGCCTCCGGCACCGCCCCTGGCGCGGTCCGCGCACGCCAGGGAGGGGGTCTAATGCCCATCCAAGAGATCCGCGCGGAGCTGAGAAATCATGATTCTCGTCGTTTTCTGATTCATTGTTTTGCCGATCGGCACGGGCCTTCGCACCCCCCCCCCAACCCCGTGGAGGAGATTTTGGCTGTTTCTGGCGCCTGTCTCGAGCAGGCGGAGTTCCTCCCCCACAGGACGCACAGCTGCAAACAGTCGCACTCAGCACTCAGATGTCTGCAGCCAGAGCCACCCCCCTCCCTCCCCCCCTCAGGTCCAAGGTCGAAGCGCCGAAGAAGAAATCGCTCACCCCATGCCGTGTTCGGCTCTTCTACCGAGGGAGGAAAGACAACCGTACCCAATACTTGGCGTTTACTAAACGGCCCTGGGCGTTTACTAAACAGCCCTGCCCTGTTCGATTCCTTCTCTGGGTGCGTTTACTAGACGGC